ATTTTCCTTTCATGGTAAACAGTGTGGTCCTATAACATGCTGCAGTCTATTTCTGTCTTTAATTATATATCACCTAAACTAAAAAATGTAGATGAGCAATTAGTCCCTCCTAAAACCTCAGTGAGGGATAACAGGGGTTATTCATAAAAGACAACAGTAACTGCATTCTGTGTATGTGTAGGCTGTGAAGAACTGATTCATAAGTTTACCGTGGCAGGGATCACCACTGCCACTCAGATTAGCATTGCCCTGTTGTGAGCTTTGGAACAGGTGACAGCCAATGTAATTATTATACTAAATCAATTTGCATATTTTAACAAATAGAAATGAGTTGTTCAAGCCAGTGTGCAAGAGCAGTGGGCCAAACATAAGAGCTCAAAAGGCCAAAACTCTCACCTGCAGAACTGTATGAAGAGGCTTTTATATTTTGACAAAATAATGCATGCAGTAATATCCTGTCAGGCTAAAAATACAGATAGGGTGGTAGCCTATTTTGGCTGCTGCTGTATAATGAACTGAAAATAGTTGCATCAAACAAAAAGAAAAAAAAACTCGACAAACATGGTGATGAATTGTGTTTTATGCACTGAATGTAATGATGTGAAAAAATAATACAAGGCAGGGTAATTTAATAGCAACCATGGGTTGGTTTTGGAAGCAAATTAGAAGGATTTTTAGATTGTCAAATAAAAAAAATTAATATTCCATTCACTAAAGGCCGCAGTTAAATCATTCTCAGAGAATCACATCGAATATAATCCGAGTATTAAAATGCAGAGTGGTTTAAATGAACCTTTTAAATTTTAAATGAAGTAATGCATGGAGGTAATGGTATTGGGGCTGCATCTATTACCACTCAATGGAGTGAAACACTGGAGTCTAGCATTAGTGTGTCAGCAGCTTCATACCTGCACTGTAAGAGAGCCCAGAACATCCCCGTATTCCTGTTAATGGTGGAAGCCTCCGAGTTTTCCACCAGAAAGTGTCCTTGAGCCGTCCACAGCACTGCAGGGAAGTGACGAAGAGAGGTCATTTGAGGGGGAAAATTAACCAGTCAGTTAATTGCCCGCATGAAGTGAAAAATTATCTTTCTATGTTGGTAAGTAATGCATCAAACCACACAGTGGCCCTGGGACATGATAAAAATTCATCACACTGCAATGATTTGCAGCTGCATTAAAAACAGCCCTAAATCATTTTTCTTCATTTTTCCACTAAATGCTCAGTGGAGGGCCGCTTTCTCAGTATTTTCACTAACATCTATGAGCAAGCTCAAAGTGCTGCACACTATTTACAGAAACAGCTCCTAACCCCCCTAAGGTCTAATTTGGGATATACTGTTTATACGCATCAACACAACCCAGTCATGATAATCCTTGTATGCATGATTAAACACTATTTGGGTTTTTAGCTTGCATAGGCCGCAAAAACCAAAAAGAACCAAGTTAAAGTATTTCTGTGTCTCAGTATCTTGTGCCATTGTTTGCTCACTGCATCCTGCTCAAATGTTGATTTCTTTTTTTTAACAAAAATATAAATAAACTGGAAGCTAGAGCCGAAACGATTAGTTGATTGATCAGTCAGTCATCAATCGACAACTATTTCGACAACTGATTAACGGTTTCGTGTAAATTTTCAAGCAGAAATTAAAAAGTTCAACTTCTCCAATGTACAGATTGATGCTCTTTTCTTTGTAATTCACGGTAGCCGTTGGGTTTTGGAGCGTTGGATGGACGGGCAAACATGCATATTTGAAAATGTCACCGTCCCCTCTGGGAAATTATAATAAGCACTTTTTCATTTTCTGTCATTTTAAAACATTTAATGTAGAAAATAACAGAAAGATAAAGATAATAACCATTATAATAGTCATTATAACCCAGGGTTAAAATCAGAATCATAAAAGTAGGGGAGAGTCATTAAAAATAAACAGACCGAAAGAGACTAAATGACTGTAATTTGCTCTCATTTTGTTAATATACCTGGACAGTGCAATGATCAACTCTTCACCTCCCTCTGAGGATATCTCAAAATGTCCTTTTTAAAGCTACAAGTCACTTCCTCAACCATAATCTGCATGTTGGTGCAAAGTGCAAACTATGATGTTACAGTCAAACTCATGGTAGAGGAACTTACAGGCTGCTCCTACGCCGATCAGCACGGAGGTCAAGTAAAAGGCCCACAATGAAGGGATGATGAACACAGCGATGTACCCACTAGGAAGAAAGCATGTAGAACAGTGAGGAGCAGCACGTCTCAGCTACATCCTGTATTTAATCACCATCATAATAGTTACCTGTAAAGTAGGCCACTCATAAACATAGTCATTTTTGCTCCAATTACTGCAACGACTGTCGGGGCAAGCAAATTGGAGAAAGAAAAGACCCCATAGATGATTCCGAGACTGCAAAGGAAGAGAATGATTATTCCAGTTTCACTTTAAAAGAAGAGCTTGTTTCTTTACAATGAAATGATTTTTTTCTTTTTTCTTAAGACTTACCTGTGGTACCCACTCCCACTGAAAGTACCATTCTCCAGGCTTTTCACCACAGTTTGCTGAAAATAAGATGGGGAGAGCACAGGTTAGTCTAGACAAAATGGGTCATAATTATGTCCTCAAGTCCTTCATCCGGTTCGCTAATTTCGCTGACCATTGAAGAAAATGAGAAACACGAGGTGCGCCTGACATACAGCTCTGATTGGCCCGTTTCCTGCTCACTATACCTCTGCCATTGGATTGATTTATTGATTGATTTTAGCCTACATTAAAATAAAAATAAAAAATAAGTTCATGGGCACAAAAACTAATTTATTTTTCTTTAGCAATACTTAATAATTAGTTTATATAACGTGCGCGTTGCAGACATATATTGTATAACTGCGCATGGCAGATGTGTGTAAGAGCAGCATGGGTCCAAAAGTGAGATTTAAATGAGTTTAACAGAGCTGAGAATCAGGAAATCTGTTCCATTCATTAGAAACAATAGAAATCTCAGAGCAGTGCTGCGTCTGCTGTCAGAGGCAACAGAGCCAAACAAATGGGACTTCCAGTACAAGGATCTAAAAAAAAAAAGTTAAGTAAAAACTCATAAAAAATAAAGTTTAACTTACTTCAACATTCCCACAGGTGGTGAAGGCGGTAAAAATGAACAGAAATCCCAAACCCAAAATCACAACGTTGAAAGTCCTTCTGTCTGCCATGGCGTTCACTTTCCCGTCCTAGCAATACATGTCACATTGGTTGCTGTTGTGCAACTACAGAGCCAGGAAAGAGTCCCGTGCGGATCCATTAACGACTCGGATTAAGTCCATCTTTAATAGAAGTCTCGCCACAAAAAGTTGACTTTACTGACTGTTTAGTTACAGTTTAATGCGCAAACAGCAGCGCAGGAAGGGCAGAGGAGCGCACAGACTGCAACAGTGGAGCTCTGTTATAAGGCCACTTCCCTGCTGTCATACCAAGTACGCATGACAACTTGTGACTTTTATTAAAACTAATTTTGTGCGGTCTTCCTTTCTCTTCTTCGTCATGGTTGCCCTCACCCTCTCCCGCTGCTTCTTCCTTCTTCTTCTTCCTTGTGCAATTTGCGCTCATTTACAGTCATTTTGCTTTGCTGCCTTCCAGAGGTAACCGGGAGGAATATTCTCAGGAGGGAAACCGTCCTCTGACAGGCAGGATTTCTTAGCTTTTGGTGTCCCTGTGTTCACTGCAAGGTGGCTTTAATGTTAAGACACTTTATTTCTATGATACTGTTACAGAAAGTGCTGCACAGATAATAAAACCGCGTGTAAACAGGCCTACAGTAAACACAGAGCCTCGAACAGAAGGACAGTAAGGACAGTGTTTAAACCAGGATGGAACATAAGATCAATCAAGTGTTGAGATCAGTGTATTTTTTATTATTACATTAATTTCAGTCTCGTTGATGGACTGATAATTAGAGGAAATGTCGTGACCAAGCTCATACAACCCATTTACAAACTGTAATTGTATTCACATGAGGTTCTCACATGATAAGGAGGGCTATAAAACAATACAATGAAAGATCAAGCAGGAAACGCACACTGAAGTAACAGTCACAATAAGTGTATTTTAAAGCAATAGGCCAAAGAGAGATCAAAAATAAAACCCTTTTCGAGTTATTGCCTATGAGGTAAGAGAGGTAGCAGATTATTAGGTTAGGCAGAGATTAGAAGTTTAGCTCATAATTATTAGGGTTAAACATCTGAAATCGTTCAACGTGCACATTAGATCATGCTTTTGGACTGTTTGCCACATTTTTCTGGCACAACTTTCAGATTCATACAATTATGTAAGTAAAACTGGGTATTTCTCAAACATTTCTAAAATGATTGTAATGCCAATAAAAAGCAGCATTCTCTTAAAGTTCACACCAACACATAGAGCCTGGTGATGGGTGGTAGCCTACCATAATATTGTCTTTATAAGTAAGGGATTTCTACCATGTCCATCACAAACTGTCAGCCTGTGTGGTAAAAGGGTTTAATAGGTCTGCGTTCAGGTTTGAGGGGTGGGGGGGCATTTTTTACAGCTGGAGATGTTTCCTAGAATCCAATAGTTGGCGATAATGCATCATTTTAAACCACAAACGTCATACAATGTTCAAGGAAGAAGAAAAAGGCAACCAATCGCCACTGAGTGAAGTGCCACCTCTCGGTGTCTGCTTTGCTGCCACAACAACAAAGAAGCGTAGCGAAGTGAGAGTGTGTACTGCGACTCACTTCCGGGTTTGCCAAATTCCCGTATGTGGCCACATCGCACAGTTCGTGTTTTCAATCAATATAATGAAAAGATTTGCTTTGCGCCAGGTTTAATTGATTACATTCTCTCGATACACTATTTGGTCGATCATAAATACAACTTATTTTGTCGAAAATCCAACTTTATTTGCAGTTATTGTAGTTCGTGTCGCTGGCGCATGCGTGTTTCCACTCTGTCTTGCAGTCCACCGGCTAACTGAAACTAACGTTACAAACGTTTTAACGTTGTGACGGTGAGTATAGCTGTGCTTGTTAGACCTTTTAAAAACACACAGCTCTTTTTCTGTTCCCCACGGAGCCACACAGCTAAAGGTGCACTTCAGCACAACTTTCGCTGTAGTCGACTTTTGCTTCCTGAATATCGGACCTCATCCTGCTCTCTGTGTCTCTTTGCCTGAACGTACAACAGATTGTACACAATCATCATGGCGACCCAGGATGGTGGGTATTGAGAAAATGCAGCAGTATTTGCTTCATATCTTTACATTGAGCCTAACAACTGTTAATGAAATAACACATGTTTGTTATTGACATGTTAATATATCACGCTCTCAGTGCAGTGTGATGTGAATTTACGTCTCTCCGTAACGTTACTCCTGACATGTTCACCAGTGTTGTAACGTTAGCTGATAGCTAGTAAACCACTGCTAACATCACTACATTTGTGGAGGACTAAAGTTAATGTTATAAGGTTTAACAGTGTACGGGTTGAACTGGGGAACCTTTGCCGCTAAAGCGCTTACTAAATATGGTTAGGTTATGAATGGTAACGACGGAGTAGCGACGTACAGTATGTTACGTTAACGTTTCCATTTGTGTAACCAGTAAGGCCAACCGTGTTACAAGAGGTTTGTATTTCCATTTTAAAACAGATATAACGTTATGTCTGTTCAGGTTTAAGAGTCTTTCGCTTTTATTGACCCCCTCAACAAACACGCAGATAAGAATTGCTGCCTAGATGTTAAAAAAAAAATAATAATAAAAAAAAAATCGGCCATGGAAAGAACTAGAAAGACCACGATAGAGAGATATATAGAGTGAGAGAGAGAGAGAGAGAGAGGGGGAGCAGAAAAACCGAAACCAGACTTCATTACACACTTTATACTGTTGGCTTTTAGTGGCCTTTCTGTCCCGCAGCTGCCGTGTTGTGCGGGGAAATGCGTGGTTAAAACAAATGTACTTTAACAGAGACGTAGGAACTGTAAACGAACTAAGGACATGGTGATTTTTACTTAAGTTACCTATTGCAGCTTTAAGTCAGAGCTTTCTTGACTCTGACCCATTGTTCCATAAATATAGAGACTTGGCAGATTTTAAAATAGTAAAAAATATATGTATGTATAAAGTGAAACTAAATAAATAAATGACACCCTGGAAGTTATTTAAACTTAGACATTAGATGCAGTATGATTTGAGAGGGGGGAAAAAAGTCGAGCTGGGTTTTTCCCAAGAATGTCTTGATATGAGAGATGGTAAGCCTTCCCGGTCCGGATGATTTCTTTTCATCTATGTAGTGTTTGCTCAGTAGCCACCTTTTAAACCAGTAGAATAGATCTGATGCTGTGCTATCCTGTTGTATTGTTTTCTACAGTGCTGTTGTAGGGATTAATGTGGCCCTTTCTGTTGTTTTGCCTATTCTTTATGTCATTATTTACAGAATACTGTTTAATTTCAGAACCTAAAGAGAAACTTCATGGCCGTATTTCATTGTGGGCACTAAACAAAAAGAAGAACAGGAGGGATTCCTAGAAACGCATATATCAGTCATTTATAGATTGCATGTATTCTACACTGTCTCAGCGTAACTGTGGTATTTAGGTTGCTAGATGTGTATTTCAGAATATGTGAACTAACGACCATACACTCACTTTCAGCTTCATAGAATTTCACTTAATGGATCTAAATCGATGCTTTCATGCTGTTTCAGGAAGTGAAGAAGTCATAATGGAAACTGACGCGAAGTCAAAAGAAGCGGAACCGCTGGGTGAAGATGCGGAAAAGGCCGACGCAGAAACCACGTCTCACACAGACGCAGAAAACGCCACAACTCAGGACTCTAGTATTAGCAACGGGGACGACGCCGACGCCGACGACAAGCGGGAGATGGTGGACTTGAAGATTATCTGGAACAAGAATAAATACGATCTGAAAATTCCTGTCGATAACACCGGAGCCAAACTAAAAGAGAGCATCCACTCTCTCACTGGTAAGGAGCACACGGCCGTTCACCTTCAGCTGAATGTTACAGCCGCTGCTTGGAGCGAGCGGCACTTAACAGATGTTCTTCGTCTTCCCAGGTCTTCCACCGGCAATGCAGAAAGTGATGTACAAAGGACTGCTTCCAGAGGACAAGACGCTACGTGAAATAAAGATTACAAATGGTGCGAAAATAATGGTGGTAGGGTCTACAATAAATGATGTATTAGCTGTGAATACACCCAAAGAGGTAATTCAGCAGGAAGTTAAAGCCGAAGAAAACAAGAAAGAGCCTTTATGCAGACAAAAGGTGAGTTCGACAGGTGTTTCCCGTTTTAAATGGGGTAACATATTAATGAGTTTCGTGATTATAACGCTGCACTGTTATTTCAGCAACACAGGAAAGTTTTGGACAAAGGTAAACCAGATGACATCATGACCGCTGTTAAAGGAACAAAGGTGAGAGAAGATGAATGCAGATCAGTCCCTATGTTAGTTTGTCTTGTGACTGCCTCAGAAGTCCAAAACCATTCACGCAGAATTAAGTTGACTGTATCACTTTAACAGCAGACACCGTGACTAACCGCGTTGTCCCGCTAACAGGAACGATTACCGACAGTGCCTTTATCCGGAATGTTTAACAAGTCCGGAGGAAAAGTTAGACTCACATTCAAGCTGGAGCAGGATCAGTTGTGGATCGGAACAAAGGGTGAGATTACAACCGGCCTCATTTCGCTAAGTTCACCGCAACACAAACATGCCGATGATGACGTGATTTTTTTTGTGTGTTTTTGTCTACAGAGAGAACGGAGAAAGTCCCAATGGGCTCCATTAAAAACGTAGTGTCCGAACCCATCGAAGACCATGAGGACTATCACATGATGGTAAATGTTCTTGCTGCTACTGCATGTCAGACTCTGTATTATAAAAGGTCACAATGCTTAACGCTCAGAGGCTGAAACAAGCGTGCATAGTAAGGTGAAGCATATATGATCATTATAACAGCTAAGGAACAGACCAGATATGTTTGTTTGTCGCATTAAGTTAGTTGTGTTTTTTTATGAAAGGTCTTTCGTGGAAGTGAAGAGTGCAGGTTGAGCTGTTCACTGAAGTCGTAGTATGTGTGCATCAGAGTGATGGGGTCACTGTTGGCTGTTTTGGGCTCTGCAGTGGAGCGGGAAATGTCAGTGCTTTCTCTAGATTAACCTTTCCGTCTAGAGGCACTCCTGTTCTTCACTGTCAGTGAAATAGAAGTCCCGGAACGAGTAACTTAATTGAATCGGCTTGTCTCACGGAGATCAAGATCTGCTTCTAAAAGAGCAAAAATGATGTGTCATAACAGCGTCGGTATAAAGAATTTAAAGTTCAGGAGAATGTGGTGGAGCTCCTTTTGATGAATAACTAATGTGTTTTTGAACTGGAGCTAACTAAAGCTACCTATACCTGTAATTACAAACAGCATCTTACATCTCGTATTGATGTCCTATACTTTTTACACGAATGGCCAATAAACAAGACTAGAACATTTCAGTGTTATACATAGACTTAGACTTCTCTTTATTGACTTTATTGACTTTATACAGACTGACAGTATAAGGCTGTTGAATGTCAGTGCATTTGAACTCAGAAAAAATAAATAAATAAAATCTAAGCTATTGAAAGTTGAGGGAATTCCCAGTAGTTATTGAGGTTTATCACCACCTCCCACTGACTGTGAGATCAGACTGTGAGCCAGTAAATCAGTAGGAGTTTATTCTTGTTTCCCTGTATGGATCAGTGTGTTGCTATGCCTGCAGTGCAGAATAGTGGAAGTACAATGACTTTGTTTTTTAATGAAGATGAACATGATCTGAAATGTAATTGTGCAGGACATTCCCGGCCATTGATCTCAGTGATCCACCCTGTTTCATTAAACTTTAAAGTTAGCGGGTATATTATGCGCAGTATACCCAGCTGTCAGGTCTTTGACTGTTGATTTATTTTAAGAGCATTGTTTTGTTATGCCGCAAACATGCGAGATGACGTATGTCATTCCAGCTGACAAAATGGTGTTATCTAAACTAATACCTACAGATGTCGTGTTGATTTGCGAGTTTACAGTCATGTCTCACATCTGTAAAATCATTAAATGTGAATTTTTTTGTCTTTTTCTGCCCCACTTTTCTCAGGCTTTTCAGTTGGGTCCAACAGAAGCTTCTCAATATTGGGTCTACTGGGTGCCTGCACAGTTTGTCGATGCAATCAAAGACACAGTCCTTGGAAAATGGCAGTATTTCTAATGTGCCTCTTTTTTTGACGTTGAACTGGGATTGAGTGGAGAGCCAATGAAAAATGAAACTGGAGTCAACAGTGAGGCTTAAGGAACATCTTGGAATATATTGGAAGGAAACGGACAAATGCCTGTGGACTAATCATATTGTTTTTAGGTTAAAAGTGCACTATGTGGCAGCATAACATTTCTCAGCCCTGTTGATCATTCAAGGTTTTCAGCAAATCCAAGGGAAAATGATGAAACAATTGTACAGAAATTGCTAACACTTTTCTTCAGTTATTCTTAAAGAAATAAAACTTATTTAATGAAATGAATGCACTAGGGCATTGTTGTTTGTATCCATATAAACTTTGTCTACACTTATGTTTGATTCACTTTGTGTGGAACCAAAGTTTTACACATTTGGACAAAGCAGGTCTTCCCAGTTTCTCTTTGCTAAACCGCCCAAACTCTGGCTAGTTTACTTTCAGGTCTTGCCACAAAGTGTGAATTAGATTGAAATTTGGCTCCCAGGACGTTAACGTCTGTCTTTTACAGGGTCATCTCTTGCTGAAAAATTAGTTTTAAAAAAAGGAAAAAAAAGTAGTAGTTCCCTTGTAGGATTTCTCTGTATTTACCTTTACAAGCCTCCCAGGCCTGCTGTGATGTGTATGTTTGGCTTATATTAAACATAGCTTTTAGTATGATGGCCAGGATGCTTGATCTTGGTCTCAGACGATAGAACTATCTTCTACTTTTCCCCCCATGTATCCCACATGAAGTGCTTTATTCAGCAGGATGCCTCTGAATGGAGGAAATTAAACAAAACATATTAGACTAGTATTCCAAACAGCCTTATTTCACTTGTCATTACTGGGGTGAGTATGAAAATGATTTTCATGATTTGCAGAGTTAATTGGTGGATTATTTTAAAACAGCATGACATTAATTAGCAGCCTTGTATCTTAAAACAAGAAGATATGGTTAAAGCAACTTCTGCTGATTGTGTTTTTCTAATTAGCTTCATTTTGTTGTTATTTTTCATAACCGTATTCTTCGAATGGAATTAACAGTATTTCAACTTTAGTCATCCCTATAATTTGCAGTTCACACCAGCAGTGAGATTCAAGTTGCCAAAACTGATGACAAATAACACAATGCAGTTAGATATGTTCCTATTTCTCTAAACACATGACAAAAATGTTTTCCTGTACCAGATGAAGTGTCCCCGGGGGATAATGTCATGTGCATTTTTTAGTCTCATACCCATTCTAATAAAAACAAATACATTGAAGTGAGAATCAACCATGTAGTCAAAATGTAAAGGCATGGCTTTCAAATCTTGTTCCCCTTTTAACTTTCATGTCATAAATGTCAAAAGTTGAAAAATTACCCGAGAGGACGGAACTGTAGAAAGTTTAAAAAAAAAAAAAAAAAAGTTCCCACCTGACCTTTCTACAATAAAATGACTGAATGATAGTGTGATTCTTAATGCATACCCAAAAATATTCATGTATTTTATTCTCAAAAAAGAGTTGTACACTGGGGGCAGTGGCGGAGGAGGCATTCAGATTCTTAAGTAAAAGTACCAATACCAC